ATGCTTTTGACCATCATTCTAGCATGTTTTTGGCCCCACTCCAGCAAGATTTTAATCATGTTTTAGCATGGTCAAGCTCTGTTTTATGTTGTCTTGGTCTTGTATGCCTTGCTTTGTATAGCCATAGTGCATTCTAACTCACTAGCTTTGAGTTTCCAAGTCACTAGCATGCATTACTTGGGCTATTTGCATGACTTGGCATCATTTGATATGTGATTTCAGTGCATGTAGTATGGCCATACACTCACATGTGTTACTCTTTCAACGCTTTGGAGGGGTTGTGCTTTATGCCTTAAATATGAGCTTATATGCATGCCTTATTGGCTAAGCTTTTGGGCTGCCATATCAATGCATTTTTGGTGTTATTTTGAGATGCCATGACTATAATTTTAGTTGGTGAAGTCATCCCATTCTTGGTTTGGGGGAGGTTTAGTGTAATCCTCTTTGTTGGCCTAGTATGCTCCATGCTTCATGCCTATAATTCTAGCTTGTGTTGGCTATGTTCAAGCAGGTTTTTGGCACTGTTGTGACCTACCTCGGGACTTTTTTGAGTCACCTTGCCCCGGGGCTTGCTTGATATGGCCATGGTGTAAGTCCCTTTGCTAGCTTTAAGCTTTGAGCCCATTAGCATGCTTTATTTGTCATATGTGCAAGATTTAGGATCCTTTGGAACGTAATTTCAGAGCTTACTTCATTGCTACACGCTCACATTTGTCACTTCTTCATCATGCTTGAGAGTTGTGCTATTATGCTTGGTTCATGGGCCAATGCATGAGCACGTATTTTCTTGATTTTCATGCCATCATTTCAGCATTTTGGCCACTGTTTTGGACCATCTTAGGTCTGTCCATATGCGGTTTAAGTCCATTAAGTGTTGCATTACATAGCCCTTGCCATTGCATTGTTGTTTGCATGTTGTTACATGACATTGTTGTTTGCATTTGGTTGCATGCTCATGTTGCTTGCATATTGTTGTTGCATGCTCATGTTGTTTGCATGTTGCACGTTGCATTATCTTTGCATGTTTGTTGCATTGCATTGTGTTTGGATCGGATGTTGATCCAAACATAGGGAACGAGGGGCGTTTCATACTTGAAGTGAGGAAACACGCCTCATTCCTTAGGTCACCGACACCTTTGATCATGTATGATAAGGTGGAGGTTCATCGAGTCTTATGTGGTATTTGTGTGCATTCATTGTCATTGATTTGTGCAACTCGGCCTTTTTGGTCATCATGCATTGAAATGCGTGATTGATGGCTCGAGAGCCGAGCACTACACTCCTTTGAGCTCTAGACATGATAAGGAGTGTGGTTGCACACACATTTTCTTGCATATACACTACCATGCCTCTGTTAGTGCTCTGTTGCAGCAAAGGGAGAATTTGCAAGAAGCAGTGGCCGATCGACCACTTTGTCTGCCGATCTGCTATAAAAATTGGTCGATAGCCATAAACTCTGGCCGATGGCCACTCCTCTTGGCTGACCACTTCTCAGCATGTCCATGAGGTGGATCAGAAGTATCTTGGAGGTTAGCACAATTTTTAGAAGTCTAAAACATTGCAAACAGAGGCATCATGAGGCATGGTAGTGGATTTCCGGGAGGACGCGACCAAGCATGCATCATTCATCATTCCAAGGCAGAGCTGTGGTAGCCTATTCCAGTTTCTTACTTAGTTGGTTTTGTAAATTAATTAATTTGATTAATTAGTTAAAGTTTTGTAACAATCAATTAGCTTAGATTAGCTAGTTAGCTTATTATTCGGACCCTCCGTTAAGAGGGCAAATTGTTGTAATAAGTGTGCGTGTGTATGATGCATGTCTTCCAACCCCCATTTCTTTCTCCCTTTTACTTATTTGCTTTCAGTGGTCAGTTTTAGGACATATTTCAATTAGCATCCTTATGCTTCACATGTTTGCATTCATTCATCTGTTTTGCATGCATTGGGTCGGCGCATCATACAAACTGCATTGTATTTCAATTCCAATTTGAATACATGTTATCTGGTTACATTCACATGACATCTTAGAATAGCCGAGCCTATTTTAGTTGCATTTTGCATGTGTTGCATTAGTCATCTTGTATAATTAGGATCATGCATTGATTTCTAATTGGTTTCTGTTTTGGCTCGAAATACTAGGTAAGCTTTTACGCTTTAGCATACTGCATGAGATGTGTATGTTGCCATGTATAGCATGCTTGCCATGAGGCTAACTGCTTAAGTGTTTCACTACATGAATGCCTGTGGATGAAGGCTCCATTGCTTGAATTGGAACAATTCATTGAAATGTGCGTTTTAAGCCCACTTAAAGTGGCAAATCACCATGTTTTCTAAGCCCACTTGAGGGTGGCAAAATCCGCGTCTTAGCCTACTTGCGAGTAGCAACTTCAAACCATTTTGAAACAAACAAACATAACATGTTTGGATCCAACTTGAGTGATTTGGTCTATACTCGTATGCTTTGCTCATCACATAGTAAGCTACCTAATAAACCGAAAGAAGAACACATGTGTTTTCAAAAACAACATATCATGTTAGTAAAGGCCGATCCTTTGATCGGGTGAGCGGGGGTGCTCATTGCATGACCTTCCCCACTCGTACCCGAGTTCCCGAGCCGAGGCAACTTTGGTGATGACGGACACATGGCCTTAGGCACGAGTCAGGGTTTCCTAAATTTTTCCAAAACAAAATATTTAGGTTGCGACTCTAAAATCTGGAAAAGTAGTCCATGTTTGACGCTTTTTGATTAAAATCAATTTTCCAAAACGATTTGCTGGATTTGGACTCTTTGGTGATTTATCAGTCTTGCATTGCACTTGGCGAGATTAGATTCAGAATCGTGACACGAGTCCGAACTGTAGTAGCTAAGAACAACGATTTGCGCCCTCGCTCGCGGAGCGAAGTTCCGGGCGATCTATAAGCCGCCATGTTTTTCAAACGCTGTTCGCTTCGTTTCGCTTGATCCATGATTGTCTGCATTGTTTCCAGCATCGTGGTTGTAGGCAACGTTTGGGCTACTAGGTCAAAGTTTAGGGTCCTTTGAGCAATGATGTTTTCCAGACCAAGCATAGTCCTTATTGTAACGTCATCTCTTGGTGTATCATCGTCGACAACGAACAGAGGATCGTTTGCTACATCTGCCATGATCGTGTTTGAGTATTGCCACAGACGACGCCAATTGTGCTTACGTGGTTTAATAATACTCTCCTGATCCAAGCAGATGACTTTGAGCCTCGTGGTGATACCTAAAAGAAGAATGAGCACTCCGATCGGGGGTACCGGAATCAGCACTCCGACGGGCAAGTTAGCATACTCTCAGGTTTTCTTCTATTATAAGTTATTTGCTTTTTTTTTAAATACCTTCCTTCTGGCTGATGCTCCTCTTTTTATAACACTCTTTTGGGGCCCACTTTCTTATTTATGGAAACCCTACCCTCACAACTGGGCCCTCAGTTACGCAGTATGATCTACGGCCTACTCAGCCATAAAGTAGGCTTATTCGGCCAAGAGGAACCGCCACTCAATTCATCGGCCCTTAAGAGCCGACTTAGATACGGCTTCACTAAAATTGCGGCTTTTTATATTCGGCCACCACAATACTCAATCATCAAAATAAAGTATCATGGTCACAACAAAACCACATAATCAACCTCAAAATAAAGAGATATATGTTAAAAATAACCCTACCTCGAGAAAAGAGCAAGTAAGCTAGACTTTAGGAAGAATCCTTCGTAGAATCGAAATCCAAACAGTAGAAAGTATGATCTTTAAGCAAACTCCACTTCTTGCAAGGAATTTTGGCTTGAATCTTAGTGAAATGAGAGATATATAGAGAGAGAAATTTGGGGTCTTTGGAATTAGAGAGAAAAGGAAAAGTGAAAGAAATGATCTAAAAGTGACTTTTAAGTTGTTGAATTCGCACAGACCACTAGAGTGATCTTTTCAATGCTCGAGTGGTGAATGAGGCCTCTCAATAGCTTTGCCTGCAAAACTAGATACTGGGAACCCCTCATCTTCGCTCGAGATTGAGCGATCCCTCGACCTACAAAACAAACTACTAGGATCACCTCATCCTCGCTCGAGCGGTCACCTAAAACAAGTTGTCACAATCTTTCCCCCTTAAGGGATTTCGCTCTCAAAATAACGTCAATCCTCAACACAACATCAATGATATACTAATAACGTGATAATCATCAATTCCTACAATCCCTAAATTATGAATGAACTATTTCTAGCAGCAAAAGAAATAAAATAAATCAGAAAGTATGGGTTACACTCAGTTTACCACACAGTAAAGGAAAAACAATACAAGTGGATACATCACATATTTTGAAATAAATCCAGGTATTTCTCGTAGACCTCTGCATCACACTCCTAAGTTGATTCCTCAACACCGTGATGACGCCACAACACTTTGACTAATGGAATGGTCATACCTCTCAATACTTACTTCCGGGTATCTAGAACTTAAGTCGGTCTTTCCTTAAAAGACACATCCTCATTAGCCTCAATATCTGCCCAATCTAACACGTGGGAAGGATCGAGCTCATACTTGCGAAGCATTAACACATGGAACACATTACGCACTCTAGAGAGTTGTGATGGTAAGGCAAGACGATACACGACTTCTCCTATTTGCTCTATGATTCAAAAGGGCCAATAAACTGGGGAGATAATTTTCCGATTCTACCATACCTCATTAATCCCCTCATAGGCGAGATCGTTAAGAGTACATAGGTTGTGTTTGATAGAGTTTTAGAATTATGATTTGAGAATAGAGTTGTATTTTGAGTTTATGAGTTTTTGAATTATGATTTGAGTGTGAAAAATTTGTCTGGTTATGAGTTTTAAAAAAAGTTTGAATTGAGTGATGTGACATATAATATTAAAAAATTGGTGTTTTAAAAAGTGTTTTGAAAAGTGAGTGAATTTAATTTTCTAAAGCTTTAACCAAACAACACACTCAAACCAAGGGGTAGAATTAAATTTCAAAAGCTCTACTAAACAGAGCCTATGTCTTTTACTTCAAAGGACAACAGTCTCCGTCTCCGATCAGCATAACATTTCTGATGGCTTTGAGCCATGACTAATCTCTTTCGAATGAAAGCTACCTTATCGATGGTCTTGCAAACCAACTCGGGCGCAAGCATAGGTGAATCCCCTACTTCTGCCCAACAAACTGCTGATTTGCAAGGACGTCCGTAAAGAGCTTCTAAAGGTGCCATCTCAATGCCAGCTTGGTAACTATTGTTGTAAGCAATCTCAACTAAAGGTAAGTGTTTCTCCCAAGACTCTTTGAAGTCTAACACAAATGCTCTTAACATGTCTTCTAAGGTCTGTATGGTACACTTGGATTGTCCATCAATCTGAGGATGGTAGGTAGTACTAAAATTCAGTTGAATACCCATGGCACTCTGAAGACTTTGCTACAACCTAGTAGTGAAACGAGGATCTCTATCAAATACTATGCTCACTGGAACTCCATAGAGTCGAATAATTTCATGAACGTAAAGTTCAACTAAATATTCAATAGAATCACCCATACTCATGGCAAGAAAATGAGCTGACTTGATGAGTTTGATCTACAATCACCCATATCGCATCATTACTTATTTCCGTTCTCGGAAGACCCATAACGAATTCCATATTGACATGCTCGTACTTCCACTCAGCAATTAGTAGAGGTTGTAATAATCTTGCGGGGTTTTTGATGTTCGACCTTGACTTGTTAGCAAGTTAGGCACTTAGACACAAATGAGGCTACATCTTTCTTCACACCTCTCTACCAAAATTGACAACTAAGGTCATGGTACATATTTGTGCCTCTCGGATGCATCGCAAGGTGAGAGTAGTGGAATTCTTGAAGAACTTCATCTATAATAGGCTCAGGCACAAACAACCAGTCAAATAACGAACACTGGCACCAACATAAACATTCAAACCATTCTCTTCCTTTCCCTTGGAGATCCTCTCCCGAATAGTCTCAACTTTCAGGCCATCATTTTGTGCTTCCACTACTTGTGTGACAATTGTAGGTTGTGTGATAACGGTGAATAGGGTAGCTTTCTCAATGGACTCATGAAGTTGCAAGTCAAACTCACTAATATCCCCCATCATCTTCCATTCCCTCACTACGAGACTAGTTATGGCACTTATGGATTTTCTACTCAAGGCATCAACCACTTTATTGGCCCTTCTGGATTTTCTATCTCCATTGATGTAAATTCAAATCTTTCTAAGAAAATAGGTACTTAAGACTCTTATGATCAGAGAATACTGTAGACGGCCCCGAACGTCCCGGGAGGACGAGTCCCCCCGTTCTGTTCGTTTTGGGCTCACTACAGTTCGGACTCTCAAATTGTCACGGTTTTAAATCTAAACCAAAGAGTCCAAATCCGGCAAATCATTTTCAGAAAACAGATTTTTAAAAAGAAGTGCCAAACATGGACTGCTTTGCCAGATACAGAGTCGCCACCTAAATATTTTATTTTGGGGAATTTAGGAAACCCTAACTCGGTGCCAAAGCCCACGTGTTCGTCATCCCCAAAGTTGCCTCGGCTCGGGGGCTTGGGTACGATTGGGGAAGGTCAGCTATGAGCACCCCCTCTCGCCCGATCCGAAGATTGGCCTTTACTAACCATGATATCCAGTTTTGAAAACGTTATGTGTTCTTATTCCATTTATTAGCCTAGAATTACTATGTTATGCACGCAGCAAACAAGTATAGACCAAATCGCCTAAATTGGAACAAAACATTGCATATTCGTTTGTTTGGCAAACGCTTTGGAATTTGTTACTCACAAGTAGGCTAAAATATGGATTTCAATGAGTTATCCCAACTCAAACAATCCAACCTTCATCCACAGACATTCAAGCAGTTATATCACATAAGCAGCTAGCCTCATGGTAATCATGCTATTATGGCAACACTCATACGCATGCGGTATGCTAAAGCGTAAAAATACTTACAATGTACTCTGAGCCAAAAAAAAAGCTAGTTAGTAATCAATGCATGATCCTAACTCATGTTAAGTGACTAATGCAACGCATACGGAATGTCACTAGAGTAGGCTCGGCTAGTCTATAAATGACATGTTAAAATGCACAAGTAGCACGTATTCAAGTTAGATTTGAAATACTTATGCAGTTAGTATGATGCGCCGAGCCTGGTGCATGTAAGGCTAATGAATGATGCACGCATGCATAGCATAAGGTATGCTAAAGTAAACATGTCTTAGTACTAACCATCAAAGGCAGGTAAGTAAAAGGGAGAAAGAAGCGGGGGTTGGAAGACATGCATACACGCACCCACACTTACTACAAATTCGCCCTCGCTCGGAGGGACCAAAAGAATATACAAATTAATTAACCTACAAGCTAATTAAATATTACAGACCCCTTTACGGGCCGACCCAAGAGCTTGCGATGTCAAATGGGTTTTGGGCTTTTGACTCGGATTTTATCATTCAAATGACAATGAAATAATTATATATTTTTAATCTAATGAAAGCAGTAAACGGCCTCAGGAAGAGGCCCAATGCAATGCGCGCTCGGCTCCGCTCGGAAAGTCACTGCCATGCACAAGTTTGCCTCTGCTTTGACTGTTCTGCTTCTCTGAAAATTGCACAACTCCCAAGGTTGCTTCTCTGAGTGTTGTGGGACACTACCGGCTGAGTGAGATCATCACCGGCCATGGAGAATGGTTACCGGCCACAAAACTATGCTCTCGGCCAAACCTGTTTTGCCTGTCGGCACCAAACGTTGCCGGCCGGCCAAATATTCCTGTTGAATCTGTTTTGACAGCAGCAGAAGACAGAACTTGGCATGGCAATGTATTTCAAGCAATGTATGCACCAATCACACCCCTTATCATGTGTCTGACTCAAAGGGACGTGGTCTTCGATTCTCGGACCACCAATTGCGCATTTCCATGCATGATGACCCAAAGAATCAAGTGTGCATCTTGATATGGAATGCAATGCACATAATCAAACAAATTGAACTCAATCTCTATCATACTCAGTTCAAGAGACCAAGCATGCATACTCATGCAATGCAATCCTAAGCATATGAACTAGCATACAACATGGCAATGCAATAAGAATATGCAAGTATGCAAGCAAACATACAGGGTGAGCATACAATCAAGCAAAGGGGATGGGCTTAAACTAATTTAGGATGGCTCGCAAGCATGCCAAAATCAGTGGCCGAAGTGCTCAAACATGAGGACCAACACAAACACACACACACACACATGCACATGTTAATGGGCCAACATTTAAACATCAAAAGGCAACTCTCAAGCACGCTTGGAAGAGACTAAACATGGACTAAGGGCGTGCAATGTAAGCTTCGAAAACCATGCTAATGATGGTGCCAAACCAACTTAACCAAGACAAACATAGCGTACAATTGGTCCAAGTACTTGAGGCTAGTCAAGGAGACTTAAACCATGGCTAAGCCAACCAAGCCTCACAAGGCCAAGAGGGCTTAAAACAGGTTCAAGGTAGGCCTAGACCATGCAAAGGGAACACCTAGATGACATCTAAGTGGATTAAACATGCAAGCATGCAAAAGAGGCTAAACATGGAGCATACAACACAAGCTTTTAAGGCATCAAAGAGGCATCAAATGCATGCATGCAAGCATGTTATGAGAACTGAAATAGCATGGTAAGTGGTTCCAAACCACTGAAAATGATGCAAGTAACGCACACTACACACTCACACACTTGGGGCTAACAATCCAAGATGCAAAGGGACTATGCAATGCATGTCTTGGTCGACCAAAACAGCCAAGGACAGACCTTTAGCATGGCAAGACAAACATAAAAGCTTCATAAAGCTAGGCCTATACATGCTTGAATAAGGGCTCAAAGCATAGGACATGTTAAGGCTAAAACAAGGCATTACAAGGCACGTATGCTAAGCAAGCATGGTGTACCAAAGCCAACATACAACAATGCTATATTATGACATAATAAGCAAGAAAATCAGTCAAGGCATGGTCAATACATACTCAAACTATATGCTCCATCACGAGGCTAAAAATGGCCCTTTTCAAGGACAACAAGGAGAGGGGATGGCCCTCTCCTTCCTAGGACCTCAAGGCATCATCCTCATCACTGAAATCCCTCAAGATTTCAGTGGTGAGGAGGCCCAAACACAATGGTCCCGAAGCTCAACCGAAATGGCACAAAACAAAGGCCAAACAAGCCTTAAGAGGGGTCAAACAACCCCAAAGCTTAAAACACCCTTAACAAACTATTTATAGAACTCAAAAACAAGACTTTTCTATGTTATATGTTAAGCTCAAAAATAGTTGCAAATATGGCAAAACAAGCTATGAAAACAAGGCTTAAAAGAGTAAAAGCTCACCCTTGAAGCACAGCAGCAAATCAGCAACTTTTGGACCAAGAAAAGGCTTCAAATCACCCCAAAAATCACCTTCAAGGACCTTAGCTCAATAAAGGGAGTAGAGAACTAGGTGTTTGTATGCAAAAGTGCAAAGAAAATGCACTTTTGAGCACAAACAAGCCCTAAACCTTAGAGAGAGAGGCAGAAAATGTAGAGAGAGATTTTTTTGCTCCAAGTTCTATATCTCTTTTTCCCTCTTGTTCCTCTTACTTTCTATCTTGTGAGAGAGCTTGATTGATATAGATATGTATCAATATGCAGCTCCTCAGAACACCCACGTCCAGGCATGGGCTGGGGTATGGCCTAGAATGACAGCTGCCAGCTGTCTACAGAAATATCTGTTGAAAACCACATTTGGCCAACCGGCCATCAAAGTGGTCGACCGGCAGCCAAATTGGCTGGCCGGCCATCATATTTGGCCGATTGAAAAACAAGGCGGCCGGTGGGTAGGAGACTTGGTTGACAGGCTCCCCCCCTTCCCTCAGGAACACATCCACAAGCTCTTAGAACAACCAAGCACAAAACAGAGAAGTTAAGAGATTCTAAGGCAAGGCGCGCAGCCAAGACTTTTCGAAACTCAAAACAAACACAAGTATGGATAATCATTGCGTGTTCAAACGATGACGTCCAAGCTTCGAGGACGGTCAAAAATGGGGTGTCTGCAGTTGCCCCTCTTTGACAGAACTCGAAAGTCATAACAATGACGGGAGTGATTGTCAAAACCCAGAGACGACCCATTTTTGACAAGGCCGAAGACTTAGACAAACATGTAAGACAAGCAAAGATATGTGCCCGCAGGATGGGGCAAAATGCAAAAGACAATGCAAGGAGCCGAACATAACTTATGATCATGCAAAGAAAGCTGTAACGAAGCATAATATGCGACAGTTTTAAGCTTGCATACACCAAACTACACTACAATGCAGAAAGGGTGTAAGAGAATTATGGAATTCTCGATACGTCTCACTCGGAGAATACAATACCTACGTGGTTCGTCTAGTTGCACTAGCTTCAAATGAACCGTACATACAATATCGTGCCTGAAAGAAAACTTAACAGGTACAGATATCGTTAACAATATGCACAACATGCTAAATGAATGCAAAATGATATGCGATATATACAAAACTATGTATAGTAATGCAAATGAAAATGCAATGCAATTAAATCATGATCAAATCATGAGCGGTTCAAAACCACACAAATGTCAAATAGATTGATGGAAGTAACAAATCCGCCTACCATAGAAAAGGTGCCACAACCCTCAAACCAACATACCAACGTGGAATAGGCGCGTACACATGCAGAACTATGAGTGATGTAGACAGACACAAGAACAAGTAATTGGGTGGAATGACATAAGTGGGGAAACAACCCACTAACGAAAGAACAATGATCCTAATGCTGGATGCAAAAATTACCCTACAATGTAATATATACAGTGGATATGGCATGCAGCCAAAACATATCTTGCCTAGGAAAGGCATGGACACAAACAAACCATATTTAACACGGAAAATGGCGCCGTCACCCTCACACCAACATACCAGCGTGGAATAGGCGGCGTACACCAAGTCTCATAACTGTGTTTCAACATGAAAAGTATGGGCACATACCAGACCAAGCTCAACATGGAAAGGCGCAAGCCATAGATGGAGGTGATGCAATGAATGCATGCAAACTACAATGCGATATGTA